GATACAGCTGTTATATGTTCCTTTGGTGCTGGCGCTTTTATAAAGTTTTTTTGGTGCGGCTAGAGGCAGTATTCAAAGTCAGTATTTTAGAAGGAGGGAGTTCTTATTTCAATAATATGTGTGATTTCCGTATGGACAAATGTAAGGCTATAAAGCATCATTGATTGGAATTTTACGTTGCAAATAAATTCTTCGACTTTATGGTTTTTGTAGGTTATATACATATAGTCTACAAAAACCATACATATAAGAATAAATTTATGTATTTATATGTTTATTTATTCATACGAACTGTTGGTTACATCGTTAATAACTAAGTAATGCAAGAAATGGTCTTCTTCATTGTTCAAACTGACTCATTTTTTAATTATTTGATGCTTTCGACACTTATTGAGATGACATTAAAGTGAATCCAACAACTGCGTGAAGTTTTCTTCATTTCAGGTATTGTTTAACAATAATGCGACAGATAACTGGTGATTTTATCGACTTGAAACCAAATCCAGACCTTGTTAATCCTAGTTTTGATGGTTATAAACTCTGTTTAGATTCATTTCAGCAAAGCGAAACACGCCTACCTTCTCCAGGTGGCTTTTTTTTGCATGGAATTGAGAGATAAGGAGTTATTATTCTTTTATTGAGCACTATCAAGCTGCCTTTATCTGTGAGCTTTCAGTTTTAATGAAGGACTCAAAATTTTCATTGCGTATCATTTTTCGGATTTTAATATGTAGTAAATAATATTCCTTGTTTGGTTTGCCAATACTTCTTTCTACCAGTCTTTTAACTAAAGTGCTCTAGGGGTTGTTTTTGCGTAACCAATCCGTATTCTTGTTATTGTTCAATTATTTCAAAAGTATCATTTGGTATTTAAACTTCATAACTTTCGTGTACTTGTTCTGTCTTTAGTGGCTCACGTTCAAGCAGGAGAACAACAATTTGGATTAGAACACTTGAAACTTTTCAATGACATTAATTATCTGTATTATGATGCCTACACTTCAACTTCGACTTTGGACAAGTTCTACGTATTTTTAGCGGATGGCCGTTTGCACTCATTTACATTTGATGTAGGACATTTTTCCGGCTTTTGTCCTTCAAGGTGTTATTTAGTATAAGCATGCTAAAAGAAATACTTAAGAATGTTTTAGGGACAATCCTTTCAATCAAAATTGGTTGAGGGTGAGTTTAAACATTATTTGGCTTCGGGTGATTCTGCTGACCGTTATCCTTGTACTCTTTCGTTTGCAAATGAAAAATTTGCGTTTATTTCTAATGGAACTGGAATTCTTTCAATGTATTACACTGGTGAACAGAGGTCTGATTGTCGCTGGACAGTAAGTATTTCTGCTAAGTTTCCGCTGTCTTCCTCGCTTCCTATTTTGCGTAAATTAGTGACAGGCACTTGTATAAATTAGTCCTCTCTTACAACACGTGGCGTTGTTTTGAAGCCAAATTGATGAAGGGCGTTTTGAAACTAATTAACTTCTTTATTTCGTTTTTAGACTGGAACTTCGCTCACTTTTTAGTAGACAGTTGAGGCAAAATAGCATTGGGACCAAAGTTTTCTACATTTTCCTAGTCATTTATAGGAGGTTTTGAGTTTGGAAGTTGAAGTTTCTGGAGAAAAAACTGGCCCATTTATCATCATGGAAAGTCGCTGTTATGGTGAAGATCGTATCGAAGTATTGCTGCGAAATATAACTTCACAAAAAAATTCGGTTCCGAACGAATCGAATCGTCTGTTCTGGAACAAGTTGAACTGGATTTCTTTTAAAAATGGTTTGCACGTTTAAGCAAATAAAGCCCCTGATCAATAAAAATTTAATTTTCTGATTATGAAGAAATTAACATTCGTAAGTTTTAAAACTCTTAAACTCGATTTCTGTAGAAGTTTTTAAAGAGGTTTTTCAGTATCTTTTTAGTTTTTATTGCTTTCAATTCTAGTATAAAGTTTGGCATAACAGGCAGTGGAACATGGCGTGTTGACAAAGTGAATGAAGTGGTTTGCAAAGGTCATCTTGATATGGCTACGTTTGACTTCAGTGGAGAAGAGATTATTGTGATTGGTAATGAAAACACTGCGTTCTCCCCTAATTCTGGCACCGACTCAGTAAAAATGGAATTGGAGACTCCAGATACTTCTCTAAAAATCGGTGTGATTTTGGGAGCAATGTTGCGAGAATTTAGCGTTCGTTATGCAGTAAGCTCAGTATGATTTTGTCTATTTCTTCTCGGTACTTAGAGTAATTTTATGCATACAATTCTATTAAGGTCAAGAGCAAACAGTAGATAGCGAAAAGAAGGATGCCGCATACATTTGGAGTCAGACTTCTGAAGACGTTACTGTCCTTTTTAAATTCCCTGAAAAGATTGTAAAAGATGACATTTCCTTAACTCTTGATGCTACATCTATTCACCTTGTTCATAAGGGCAGCGACTTGTTAAACGGCAAACTGGGAGGCGTTGTGGACATCTCTTCATCAACTTTTACCACTGATGGGGGCAAGTTCGTTTTAAATTTTCTCAACTTCTTTTTTTATTACGATTTCTTTACTCTGCAGCTTGGTTTACATTAATTTTTTTTGCTAGTTTTTAATATCTCTGAGACATTTTAATAAAGCATTGTTTCATTGAAAGTTCAGGAGTTATAGTTTGTTTTTATCCTCCTAAAGAGTTTTATGTTCTTTAATCAGAAATTTATATAAGGAGTTTTAAGATTGGAATTGACTTTGTTCAAAAATGAGCTGTGTGGTTGGACAGAAATAGTAATTGGTGATGAACGAGGTGTTATGGAATGCGATCGCGATGCAATGAACGCAGCATATGCTCATTTGGAACAGTTTACGTCTGATTTCTCGGTATTATTCTATTATTCTTTTGTTGGAATATTTAGGCATAATCTTATCCAGAATTAAAGCTAATTTCTAGTTTGAAGCAGGCTAAAAGTTGTTTTTAGAGTGCTTTGAATGATTTTTATTACGCAGTTTGACGAGGTCTATGCTAGCTTTTGCTTTAATTTCTAAATTTTTTCAGCAAATCTTTGAATTTTAAATTAAGGGTCTAGAAGCTTCTGATGCTAGCATGGTATTTAATAGTGGTCAACTTGAAGAGTGCGATATGAATGGCGATGATATTTCAAAAATACTATGGATTTCTCGGAAAACTCATGCCGTGAAACATACAGTCAATTTTACTTGACTTTTTCAGTGACTTTGTCTTTTTAATAGTGTTTGGCCTTTTTGGTATTTTCTTTTGATGCCCGAAATAAATTGTTAAGTAGCAGAACTGCAACTTTTCAATGATAAGAACATGCTTATTTAGGGGAGGTTAAAAAAGCTTCTTTTACATTGCCAAGTTTTGGGATTTCCTATTTTCAAATTTTTGATCTTTCGCTTACACTTGCTGTTCGTAAAGAGTAGCTGTTTTTCTATTTGTTTCAGTAGGTAAGGGTGGAAACCTTTGTTTGATTTGTGTTTTCGTTACTGATACTGAAATTTATGGACTTCAGAGCGATATTAGTGGAAATCCAGTTCTGTTTACGTTGTCGGTGCCAAGAGAGCCAAGAATGTTTTGCATCAGGATGGATGTCGATGGGATTTTATGGTCTTTCAGCAATCAGGATAATGAACCTGTTTTTCATAAAGCCACATTCAATGCTCTTGGCTATGTCCAGGTGTTGATTAACCTTTATTTTCATGTTTGTTTCTTCTTTTCTTGTTTCTAATAATTAAAATTTTTAGGCCTCAAAATCCCAGAAGAAATTTAGCACATGTTCACCTGACTTTGTTTACTCAGCTATAGTTGAAGATAAGAGACGCGCTTTCATTTATTGGCAGTCTACACCTCTTGATTCAGGTTATGAAGTTCCCTTTGTAATTATCACTCTACTAGTATGTCGAAGAATTTTTTTGGATTTGTATTCAGACTTGCGCAACCGTCATACCGGACGACGTGTAGCTGGGTTGTCAAAACAATACTTGATTTCTGTATCAAATAGAGGAGATTTTGGAGAAGTCGAGGCTATTCCTGATAATATTGTTGGTGTTTATGCTGGAAAAAATATATTTTTTCTTCTCACCACTTGTCAACTTTTTGCAGTTACATTTAATTAGCATAACCCTTATTATCTGTTTTAATTGTCAGATTAAACACTATATAATTTATCCTGTCATATGCCTTTCCAATTTTCTTGCTTCTTCAAAGTGTAAATGATTTTACACTGTGACGTATTTTGGCGAAGTTTATAAGTTGCTACTGGTGCTGATGACTTCAGAAAAATACGTTGTTGTTACCTCTGCA